AAAGGTGACAGTCGGTTGGTGAAAGGTCTAGAGAATATGGTGGGTGAGGTAGAACTTCAACTCCCAATTCGTTCAATTTATGGATAGTGATTTGTGAAACGTGTGGGCGGGCGTTGTCATGCAAAAGAATCGGACCCTTTCTTTTGATAAGTGTTGGCTGCAGCTGACAATATTTTCGGTACATTTGGTCGGTTTGTTCACAGTAGGGTTCTGCTGTGATGGTTTGGCCTGGTGAAAAGTTATAGTGGATCACACCAGCCGATGACCACCAAGCCGTGACCAGAATCTTTTTTTCGGGAGGGTTCGGCTTTGAAAATTACCACGGTGGTCCGTCAAAATCCAACCACTGTCCGGAACGTCTCCTGTTATCATACATGACCCATTTTTCATCACAGGTGACAATTTCGGTCCAAAAACAGGTCGTTTCTGCTGCGCAAAAGCAATGCAGAAGGAACCTCGAGACGTGCCGATTCCTGCCGGTCACTCCGATTGTGGGGCACCCAATTGTCGAGTTTTTCACCTTCCCAATGCGTTCCAGACCATCTGCAACAGTGGATTTGCAAACGCCTAGCTCTTCTGCTATCTCTCGAACTGTTTGGGATAGATCAGCCTCCGAAATCCCCTCAAAATCCTCGTCAGAATTGCTTTAGGTCGATCGCTATGAGGTTCACCTTCAAGGCTGAAATTTCCAGAACGACATTTGTTGAGCCATTGCCGCACAGTGCTTTCTCTAGCACTATTGGGCCCCCACCTGGTTAATTTGTTGAGCTGTTTCGATTGCGGATTGCCCCAATTTATAGTCGAAGAAAAAAATCGTCCGAAGTGCTCTTTTCACATGCTTGAAAAAATCTTGAAAAAAGGGGTTTATCAAGCAATGGTGAAACGGCAATTATACCATCAGATAGCGCAAGAAATTCTCTACAGGATGTGCTACTGAGAAGCAAGGCAGAATGAGTTTTTAATCAGCAGTGAATGTACAAAAAATAGGTGCACAAAACGCTAAGAACTTTCCGGACAACCTAATATATTATACCGAGCGGGCAATTCTATGATGACTGCCTCAGCGTTCAAATGATGTGGTGAATAGCTGGTCTAATGAATATGCTCTACCGTTGTCCGCGGAGAAGACCAGGTGCTGCATCTGAGCCCGAGAAATGGGTAGTTTCCTTGTGTGATTGAAGGCACCCCCTTTCAGGGAGGTGGGGCTTCAGAGGAATTTGAGCTTCATTGTGACCAGGAATCACACCTTTGATGCGCATTGTGATACTACTCGTATGACTTGATGGTTTATAGATTGGTCAAGGTCCCGCGAACCAAGAATTCGTCGCGAGAACCTCAAACAATCTATGCACATCTATGAGACAGAACGAGCAATATGCTCACAGCAGCAGTAAACTTAGTTGCTGACTTTTAAGACGTACATGAGACTCCTCCTATAGTAGAACACGCCTGCCGCTCGCGCAGTTACACACTTGACGAAATAGTGTGAAAGTTTCCATAGGAAATTTGGAGAATGTGAGGATTTTTTGAAGCTCAAAAAAGATTCGCGCTCTTATCGACTTGCTCTTCCCAGAGAATGGAAGAACTGCGGGTGGAGAATTAAATACTCACCACGAAAGGTTGTTCCGCCAAAGTGCTGTTCCAGATGACATGTATACCGCCTGATGCGTTTCTGAAGCTGATTACAAATCTGCATTCCATATCTGCCAAACGATTTTCTGGGCACAGTTATGTAGTAGAGTCCAGCTTCTCTCTTCATAAAACCTCGGCATTATTGTGAACTTTCAAGTTGTAATTTGTTCTGCCAAAGAGGTTGGTAGGTGGAAGACTTTATTATAATGGCCTGACGTTTCGACAGGATCGTCGTCCTCAGAGGCCTAAACATAGCTCAAGGTTTGGATGTTGTATCCACTAGACCGCCAAACGCCTCGCCTCCCTAGCGTTTTTGGCGAAATCTTAGGAGAACTACCAAGAAAAGTCGAGTGTGAGAAACGAACTTACCAGTCTACCACCACATGAGCGGAACGATGCCACTCGCTGTCAGTTGTCAGTTAGTAAGTGAGACACACTGTGCTGTCCTTATACAGCAAGTATAGTTAGGAACGGCACGTCTCACTGTTCACATCAATAGCCTTGCTGCTGCTTCAAACGGCTATGCTGTACCAGGAAATCGAAATCGCGGACGAACTCACACTGAGCACCGAAGCGGCCCGCGCCAAGACAAAATCCCCTATGTATACCATTCATATCTGATAAATTGATCGCCGTTGTTCATGAATATTCCTAACAATAATATCAAGCGTCAACTCGTGCGAAATAGGCTCTATGACAGGCAGTGCATATCAGAGCATTGCGTCATATGTCCGCACGGACTAGGAGGAGATTGCGCTAAAAGTGGCGTGATCTACCAACTTGAGTGTCAGACATGTAACGCAACTTACATAGGGGAGACTGGAAGAACACTGGCGATACGTATCAAAGAGCACCTCGCTGGTAAAAGGCGCGGCAATACGCGTACACCGCTTGGCAGGCATTTGATCGAAGAGCACGGCGGAAACGATTTTGATGTGAAGTGCAGAATTCTGGCATTCGAGACTGAAATTTCGGCTAGAAAAGCGCTAGAGGCATTCTGGATCTCCGCAAGGAATCCTAGGATGAACAACCGAAACGAGTTTCTGTCCATTACAAATGACCTCTTGCCATTTGTGCCACATTGCGAGCCATTGATGTGAACAGTGAGACGTGCCGTTCCTAACTACATATACTTGCTGTATAAGGACAGCGCAGTGCGTCTCACATACTAACTAACAACTGACAGCTAGTGGCGTTCTCCTAAGATCCGCCAAAAAAGCTAGGTCGAGGCGTTTGGCGGTCTAGTGGATACAACATCCAAACCTTGAGCTATGTTTAGGCCTCTGAGGACGACGATCCTGTCGAAACGTCAGGCCATTTATAATAAAGTCTTCCACCTACCAACCTCTGTGGCAGAACAAATTACAACTTAAAAGTTCACAGTTATGTAGGTTTCTGCCCTGGTCACCTATATTTTCATCATACGTAAGGATTGAGAAACCCCAAATTCGCACAAATCGGGAATCAGAATTTGTCTAGGGCATCATGAAGTAACACTACAGTCATTTCTCTTGGAAATATCGTGTTGGGAAGGGGGTCGCCGCCTATAAGCGACCGAGGATGAGAGTGCGCACGACGCAAGAGTTTTTGCATCGAGTGAGTACGATGTTTGCGTTCTAGGAATCGAGTCGGCCATAAGGGCAAGCTTTTAGGTTTCTGAAATTTTGACCAAAACCCGGAACGACGGGGTAACCATGGGCAGTCATCTCTCAAAGGCGCTGGCACTGTACGCGAATAAATTCCAGACGGTATCGTGCAAGTGTTTAATAGATGTCTTGAGGGTATGGCTAGGAGTTGGCACCAACCTAGGAGCAGTTACGTATGTTGCGCACAAAGCAGTTGAGCAGGCAATTATCACTCCTTTCCCTTGGCTGAACGAAAAGTTGCTGAACACCGAATGGGTTAGCTGTGGCTGTGACGCGGTGATGCTAGAGCAGGGCAATCACTGGTTGGGGATTTTAGTCGAGTCCATACGACCTCCCCCTCTTTGCGGGGGGGGGGGAGTGAATAGCACAGTGAAACAGAATAGTGAAACAGGAAAAGCCGCGAGACAATACGACCCCCCCTTCTACCAATTCTCAGATTTTCCCCAACTTCCTGCCACTTTTTCCAAAATTTCCCAAAAACTTCCCTACTTTTTCGCATAAGACACGAAAATCACTAGAAGTCAACCACCACTCCCACCACTCCTAGAAAGGCCAGAAAGTAAATACGACCCCCCCCCCCAACAATGAGCAAGTACGACCCCCCCCCCTTTTACAACGTCCGTGAAGCGAGAAAAATCAACTATCAAAATAAATTTTTCTCAGCCCAAATACGACCCCCCTCTCCTGGCGGCCAAATACGACCCCCTGTTGGGGATTCCCCAACAACGATGTGCCCTACCAGGCAGAATCATAGTGGAAAGAGTGTCGCAGGTGTCAGACCACAAAATTAGGGATCAGTGTGTGAGGCACGGGTAGCACACCACCAACATGATCCATTGGGCTACAGTGGCAGAATATGGAGTATTCAACGTGGATAAATAATCTGCAGTATCAAAT